TTCGGAGTTTTTTGAAATCAGGAGGTCTTCAAGATTCATCCATGTTACAGCATGTGTCAGTCTTCCTTTTAAGACTCATACTCGGGATCCCTGGGTGGCGCAGCGGTTTAGCGCCTGCCTTTGGCCCAGGGCGCGATCCAGGAGACCCGGGATTAAATCCCACGTCGGGCTCCCAGTGCATGGAGCCTGCTTCTCCCTCTGCCTATGTCTCTCTCTCTCTCTCTCTCTGTGTGTGTGTGTGTGTGTGACTATCATAAATAAATAAAAATTAAAAAAAATGACTGATACTCCATTGTGTATATACTGCATTTATCCATTCATATTTCAATGAACACATGAGTTACTTCCACTTTTTGCCTATTGTGGATAATTCTGCGAGAAATATGGGTGTACAGATATCTCTTCAATGGGATCCCTGGGTGGCGCACTGGTTTGGCGCCTGCCTTTGGCCCAGGGTGCGATCCTGGAGACCCGGGATCGAATCCCACGTCGGGCTCCTGGTGCATGGAGCCTGCTTCTCCCTCTGCCTGTGTCTCTGCCTGTCTCTCTCTCTGTGAATCAGGAGGTCTTCAAGATTCATCCATGTTACAGCATGTGTCAGTCTTCCTTTTAAGACTCATACTCGGGATCCCTGGGTGGCGCAGCGGTTTAGCGCCTGCCTTTGGCCCAGGGCGCGATCCAGGAGACCCGGGATTAAATCCCACGTCGGGCTCCCAGTGCATGGAGCCTGCTTCTCCCTCTGCCTATGTCTCTCTCTCTCTCTCTCTCTCTCTCTCTCTGTGTGTGTGTGTGTGTGTGTGTGACTATCATAAATAAATAAAAATTAAAAAAAAATGACTGATACTCCATTGTGTATATACTGCATTTATCCATTCATATTTCAATGAACACATGAGTTACTTCCACTTTTTGCCTATTGTGGATAATTCTGCGAGAAATATGGGTGTACAGATATCTCTTCAATGGGATCCCTGGGTGGCGCACTGGTTTGGCGCCTGCCTTTGGCCCAGGGCGCGATCCTGGAGACCCGGGATCGAATCCCACGTCGGGCTCCTGGTGCATGGAGCCTGCTTCTCCCTCTGCCTGTGTCTCTGCCTCTCTCTCTCTCTGTGACTCTCAATAATTAAAAAAAAAAAAAAAAAGACTTTGGTTTCAGTTCTTTTGGGCATGTACCTAGAAGTGGAATTGCTATATCATGACAGTAATGCCATTTTTAATTTTGTGAGAAACCACCATACTGTTTTGCATAGTTGCATTTTATATTTCCACCAGCAGTGCACAGGGTTTCAATTTTTCCATATCCTCACCAACATTTGTTATTTCTGATTCTCTGATAATAGCCACCCTAGTGTGTATGAAATGGTATATCATTACGGTTTCAGTTTGCATTTCTTGATTGATTATCAATATTGAGCAATTCTCATTGGCCATTTCTGTATTTTCTTTGGAGAAATATCTATTCAAATCCTTTGCTGTTTTTTGAAATGGGTTGTTTTGTTGCTCTTGTTGAGTTTTAAGAGTTGTTCATGTATTCTGGATGTTAATCTCTTGTCAGATATGTGATTTACAAACGTTTCCTACCATTCTCAAAATTGTCTCTTTACTCTCTTGATAGTGTCCTGTGGTGCACAGTTTTTCTTTTTTTTTTTTTCTTATTTTTCTATTTTTAGAGAGGGTGACAGAGGCAGGGGAGGGGCAGAGGGAGAAGGAGAGAGAGAATATTAAGATTCTCAGGGCTCGATTCCACAACCCTAAGATCACTACCTGAACCATCCAGGTGCCCCAAAAGTTTTTCATTTCAATGAGTTCATTTTGTCTAATTTTTCTTTTGTTATTTTCACCCTTGGTGTCACATCCGATAAATGATTAACAAGGATGTAAAAGACCTGTACATTGACAAGTATGACATGGATAAAAGAAGTTGAAGAAGATACGTATAAATGGAAAGATAGTCCATGCTTGTGGATCAGAAGAATTAAATTATTAAAATTCTCATAGTATCTCAAAGCAATCTATAGATTCAGTGCAATCTCTTATCAAAATTCCGAAGGCATTTTTCACAAATAATGAGCAAACAGTCCTAAAATTTGTAAGGAACCACAAAAGGCTCCAGATAGCTGGTAATCTTAAGAAAGAAGAACAAGGCTGGAGACATCAGACTTCCTGATTTCAAACTATGTTACAAAAATATACTAATCAAAACAGTTTGGTCTTAGCGTAAAAACAATATGTAGATCATTAGAACAGAACAAAAAGCCCGGCTATAAACTGATGCGGTAAACATAGGAATGCATCTATTCAAATTAGTGTTTTCATTTTCTCTGGGTTAATATCCAGTAATGGAATTACTGGATCATATGGTAATTCTATTTTTAATTTTGTGAGGAAACTCCATACTATTTTCCACAGTCTGCACCAATTTGCATTTCCACCAACAGTGCACAAGGGTTCCTTTTTCTCCACATCTTCACCAACACTTGTTACTTCTTGTCCGTTTTATTTTAGCCATTCTAACAGTTGTAAGGCAATATTGAGGTTTTAATTTGCATTTTCCTGATTATTAATAATGTTAATAAGCATTTTTGTGTCTGTTGGTCATCTGTATGTCTTACTTGGAAAAATTTCTACTCACATCCTCAGCCCATGTTTTAATTGGATTATTTGGGAGGTTTGTGCTGTTAACGTTGTATAAATTCTTTGTATTGTTTGGATACTAATCCCTTATTGGAGGATTGGAGGTATCATTTGCAACTAGCTTCTCCCATTCAGTAGTTTGTCTTTTTGTTTTGTCAGTGGTTTCCTTCACTATGCAAAAGCGTTTTATTTGGTGAAGTCTCAGTAATTTAATTTTGTTTTCCTTGCCAGAGGAGACATACTAAGAAAAATATTTCCATGGCTGATGTCAAAGAATCAGGAAGGATACTGTATATGTTTGCTTATAGACATTTTTTGGGTTCAGGTCTCACATTTAGGTCTTTAATCTATTTTGTGTTTGTTTTTGTATATGGTGTAAGAAAATGGTCCAGTTTTCCCGGCACCATTTGTTGAAGATTGTTTTTTTCCCATTCTGTACTCTTGCCTTCTTTGTCATAAATTAATTTCCCATAAAAGTGTAGGTTTGGTGCCTGGGTGGCTCAGTAGGTTAATTGTCTACCTTTGATTCAGGTCATGATCTTGGGGTCCTGGAATCAAGTTCCACTTCAGGCTCCTTGCTCAGGGAGTAGTCAGCATCCCCCTTTCTCATTGGCCCTCCCCCACTTGTGTTCTCTTTCTTATGCTCTTTCTCTCTCAAATCTTAAAAAAAAAAAAAAAGTGTGGGATTATTTCTGGACATTCTATTCCAATAACTTATATATCTGTATTTATGCCAGTACCATAATGGTTTTATTACTACAGCAATATAGTATTTCTTGAAATCTTGGATTCTTTTCCAAGATTTCTTTGGCTATTTGAGATCTTTTGTGGTTCCATACAAATTTTAGGATTATTCTAGTTCTATTTAAAATGTTCTTGGTATTTTGACAGGGATTGCATTGAATGTGCAGCATGAGTAGGTGGATGGGTGAAATAGTTGAAGGGGAATTAAGAATACACTTATCTTGATGAACACTGAGGAATGTATAGAATTGCTGAGTTATAATATGCATATGAAACTAACATAACAAAGTACATGAATTATATACTTGAATTAAAAATGAATTTTTAAAAAGAAACCCGTTTATTTTCGTGTACATAGAGTACACAATTTCTGCTCATTTTGTTGCTGATCCAAAGTCATGATGAAGAATACTGTGTTAGGGTGCGCCTGGGTGGCTTAGTCAGTTATGTGTCTGCCTTTGTCTCAGCTCATGATCCCCTGGGATCAAGCTCTGCACTGGGTTCCCTGCTCAGTGGGGAGTCTGCTTCTCCATCTCCCTCTGCTTTCCACTCCCCCTACTTATGCTTTGTCTTTCTGTCAAATAAATAAAATCTTTTTAAATAACAATACTGTGCTAGACCCCCCCACAAAAAAAAGAAAAGATAAAGAAAGCTTGCCATTTGCCAGGAGATGGCGCTAGAGAGCATTTTGCTAAGTGAAATAAATCAGAGAAAAAATACCATATGATTTCATTTGTATGTGGAATTCAGAAAACAAAACAGATGAACATAGGGGAAAAAAGAGGAAGGGAGGGGCCAAACCAGATAACAGACTCTTGACTATAGAGAATAAACTGAGGGTTGTTGGAGGGGAGGTGGCCGGGAGGATGGATTAAATGGGTGACGGGTATTAAAAAGGCCCTTGCTGTGATGAGCAGAGTGATGGATCACTAAATTCTGTACCTGAAACAAATATTACACTGTATGTTAACTAACTGGAATCTAAATAAAAACCTGAAAAAAAATACTGTGCTAGAAAGTCTTTCTGGAAGAATATGTGAGAAATACATTATAATAGTCATTGCCTTTGGAAAGCAGTCATGGATGACTGGGGCAATGGATGGAAGAGACTGTTCTCTATCGTTTTGTGCCTTCACATGCACTGCTATTTTACATTTTAAAAAGAATGTAATCTTGATTGTGGTCACCTACATCTATACATGAAATGAGTGATTATATGTAAAACTAATGAAGTGTGATGAGGTTCATAGTTTGAATAAAGGGTAGTTTCTTGGTTTTAATATTGTACTATAGTTATGTAAGATGTTACCACTGGGAGAAATGAGTAAAGGGTATACGAGATGTCTCTGTATTGTTTCCTATAACTGTAAAATAAAAGTTTTTTTTTAATTTTTATTTATTTATGATAGTCACACACAGAGAGACAGAGAGGCAGAGACACAGGCAGAGGGAGAAGCAGGCTCCATGCACCGGGAGCCCGTCGTGGGATTCGATCCCGGGTGTCCAGGATCGTGCCCTGGGCCAAAGGCAGGCGCCAAACCGCTGCGCCACCCAGGGATCCCCCAAAATAAAAGTTTTTAAAAATAAGTGATGACAACAAGAACAACAAATAAGAACCTTGTGTCAAATCTAAAATTTTAATTTTGTTTTTTAGGAATCTGGTGGACAGTCACAAACTTCGATGAAATTTCAGGAAGCATAGCAATTGAAATGGATAAAGGAACCTATATACATGCACTTGACAATGGACTTTTTACATTGGGAGCTCCACATAAAGAAGGTTTGTGTCTAGTAGAAGCAATGAAAAGGAAAAGACCACTTAAAAGTATATATTTTATGACATTCATTCACTTGGCCAAATCTAATCTCAAAGGAATAAATTCATTGCATTTGACTCTTCCCTTTTTTCCTTCCTTAATATTTACCAGATACTAGCAAATCCCTCTTTCAGTGTAAGCATTTAAAACATTCTGGGGAATCCCTGGGTGGCGCAGCAGTTTAGCGCCTGCCTTTGGCCCGGGGCGTGATCCTGGAGACCCGGGATCGAATCCCATGTCAGGCTCCCAGTGCATGGAGCCTGCTTCTCCCTCTGCCTATGTCTCTGCCTCCCTCCTCTCTCTCTCTCTCTCTCTCTCTGTCTCTCTGTGTGTGTGTGACTATCATAAATAAATAAAAATTTAAAAATAAATAAATAAATACATACATACATACATACATACATTCTGTATTCTTCCAGAAGAGTATCAAGGAAATCAAAAACAAAATGAACAATTGAAATTGAAAGGGAAACGTTGTTGTGTCAAAGATTTTATTCCTTTATTCTTTAGACCTTTTGTCAAAACTAACCTGGAGCATTATTAATAATTTGATTATTAATTAAAGTAACTGTTATTCCCCCTATCCCATCAGTATAAGCATTAATGAGATATAAAGTAATCAGAAGATTAAAAAGCAGTATATTTTTTATTTGAATGTCCATCCCTTGAATAAGTTAAAGCATTTAGTTTTTTAAATAGTGAGTGCTTATTTGTCTATGTACTGAGTGCATTTTAAAACACAGGAAGAAAATATTTTATAAGTAAGCATCAAGCTGACCTACCTATTAAGTATGTAAAATTAACTCTGTAGTTGTAAGAAGATAAGTAGATCTTGATACTCTAATCTGAATAGTATATTATGATTAAATAAAAATATCACAATATTCTTATATTTAATTTTAAAAGAAAACGTTTTTTAAAGCTGAAGCAATTTTTACATTTATATTTATAACAAATGTCAAATTTATTTCAAAATGTTTTTCTCCTGTAGTTGATGAGGGCCCTAGTCCTCCAGAGCAGTTTACAGCTGTCAAATTGTCTGATTCTAGGTAAGTAGGTTGAACTATAATCACCTTTTAACTTAATTTTATTCACTGAAACATTTCTAAGTTATATCCTCAGTAGGTCTCTAGGGCCAAAGGAAACAGTTCTACTTCACCTTGTTAGAATTCAGTCCTATTAATAGAATATACTAATAATATTTACTGGGTTATCTTTGAGTAGTAAGATTAAAGGTGATTTTGGTTTTCTTTTCTGTATAATTTTTTTTCTGTGTTTTCTCCAAATTATTAATGATTGCTTTTAGAGTTGGGGGTAAGAGGAGGAATTAATTTCCTTCTCAAGGCTTAAGAATTCTTTTGCAGGTATTCTTGTAACTTTCTTGTTGTTACTTTGTTTTATATAGGGGAAAATGGCTTTATTGGCCTCAAATAGCTGCTTCCTTAGATGCAATGAAGCAGGTGATATAGAAGCAAAAAGTAAAACAGCAGGAGAAGAAGAAATGATAAAGGTAATCATCACATTTTTCTATAGACTGATATATGTCACGTACATGATGTCTCATATAATGCTCTTTCTTTAAAGTGTTTGAATAGTCATTTACTATCACTTTAAAGATGTAATGCACAGTTTTTTATACAATTCTCCAAATAAGCTTTATTATAAAAAGTTTAATTATAAGTCCTATAAATGTTGGCTTGTTTGTACCACGTGGTAGAGAAATTATGACATCTTGCCTCTATATATTAGTATCTTTTTCTGAGTAGCTCCACATGCTTTTTTGGGCCTATTTTTTTCTTGCTTGCATTTTAAAATATAATTTTTAAGTAGATATGTTCACATGGTTCAAAATTTTAAAGATATAAGCATATAAAGAGATAACTCCTTTCTATAGCCTATTAGTTTCTTAATAAAAGCGTTTATAATTTTCTGCTTTTTTACAATAAAGTTAAGCTCCTGCGTATACTCCTTTAAACTTTGGGTTTTTTTCCTTAACATTGTTCTCTGAGAGATTTTCCCTTATCACTATGTAGACATTTTTTCTCTTTTTTAACAGCTACATAATATTCCATTTTAGGGATATACTGTAATTTATGAAATCAGTTCTTCATAAATGCAAATTTAGGTTAGTTCCAATCTTTTACTCATACAAACAGTGCTGTAACACCCAGCTTTGAATGTGCATCATTTTGTAGGTGTGCAGTTATATCTGAGGATGAATTACAAGGTGTATGAAAAGTGTTAAATCATAAGATTTTTTAAAATTACGTTAAAAAAAAAAAAAAACCACCAACAACACACAAACCAGGACAGAAGCCTGTAGCTTCAGGCACTCAGCTGAATGTGACATGTACTGCCTTCTTGAATCTTCAGAAAGTTCCTGTGAGGTACCTATTATCTTAACATAACCAATGAAGAGAGTGCCTTTGAGCCTCCTTATATCCTCACCTGTTATGATCAGTTATGAAACCCACACAGCTAAATATGAGAGAGTCAGGATGTGTAAAAAAAGAAGAAAAAAAAAGGTGGGTGGGGAAACAACAGAAACAAAGAGAAAAGAAAAAAACAAGGGGGAGTAACCTCTGATTCTATATTCTGTAAATCCCTCAACTTCCCCTGGAACTTTCCATTGCTGCTTGGTCAATACGTTGCTTTTCCCCTGACCTTCTAGCTGGTCTTCTGGGGGACGGGCCTGCTGTGCTGATTCTCAGGTGTGTGCACCTGGGGAGCTGCCCAGGCCCCTGCCAGGTGTATGGCTCAGTGGGAGTTGTTTATCTGTGAGGCCCCTGCTCAGTCCCAGGTACAGGGTGACACCAGGAGGGACAACAACAGTGGGGGCGGCCAGCTGTGCCGCCCTGGAGTCAGATCCCGCAGTGACTACCACAGCTCCCAGTACACAGGGGCCTGGATGCTCCAGGGGCGGGCTGCCGATCTATAGAGCTCGGACCACCCGGCGGCAGGAGCACCTGGCTCTCCTGTGTGCTCCTAGCCTCTGCCTGACCAGGGGGAGCACCCGATCCTGGGCTGTGTCCCCCGATGCCCTGGGCTTCTGGGCCTGTGACACTGTGAATGGACCTAAAGTGTAGGTCCACGATGTATAATTTAAAAGATCAGAGTGAATTTTGTTTGAAGTTAACATACTTTATTACAATAAAACTCATAAGCCATTATACAGGTTAAAGAAAAACTCAAAATATAGAAACAGTCAAATGACAGGGGAGGGCAAGCCTCCGTTGGGCTGCATCCATCATGAGCCCCGCGGTGGGAGCTGGGGCGGGCTCCCGAGGTGGTCGGGGGGCTGCTCAGGGGTTGAAGCCAGTTGTTCCGGAGGCAAGTGGAGGCTGTGGCGCCCTGGGGACCCCGATTGCAGGTGCCGGGGCCTGCTCCTCCTCCCGGGTGGCCGCGGGTGCAGGCGGCTCGTCCAGGGTGGAGCGGTGAACTAGAGCAGTGACCACTATCTGCAGGGGCTTCGCCTCCCCAGCTGGCACCTCAGCTGGGGCCAAGCCCTCAGCCCCAGCCGTCAGCATGGCCTCGATCACTTCAGGCCCTACCGAGGCAGCAGGCCCCAGAGTTGGAGCTGGGGCGGGCTGCTGAATTGGCTCAGGGTCTTTTGCTCGGGCCAAAGCTGTAGCTCCAAGAAGACAAAGTATCACCACCAGGACGGGCTTTCCACGTCCCTCCCAAATCAAGGACACTCTTCCCACCGCTCAATGGGGAGGGGGGACGGGGAGGGTAAGAGCCCTGGGAGGTGTCCCCAGCCTGCAGCTCGTGGGGATGGGGTGTGAGCCTAACCCCTGCTCCCGGCCCAGCTGCACGGACGCTGGATCCGTGGGGCCCACCCTGTCCCCAGCTCCGCCACCCCCAGGCCTCCTCACCCCCAGCCTCTGGCTCCCCTGCATGGAAGCGTCTGAGTTGTTGGAGGTAACGCCGGGCACGGAGCTCCACGTCTGTGCCTGGCATGTGCTGCCTTATGATTTTCCAGAATCTTCTTCAGGGAGGCAACTTCTGGGAGCTGACAAAAGTCCTCCCGATAATAATCCATCCATATTTCCAGGATGCAGCACATGGCCCTGGGGAGAGGGACAGGTGGGCACAGGCCTCAGAAGACAGGGCTCCCTCACACCGAGGTGTCCCGGGAAGCCCTAGGACCAGGGCCTCGGCCTCCCGCGCGGGGCTTTCGGAGGCGCGCGGGCTTTCGGAGGCCGGTCTTGCTCCTCGTCGACCTGCCACCTGGCGGTCATGCCTGCCACAGGCCTGCTCACCGAGGAGGGGCTGGCACGAAGCCTCTGTGTGGGGGAGCGCACGCCCGGCGGTGTGACCATCACTGTCTGCTGGGGAAGCGGGGTTCCCTCCTCAGCCTGGCTCCCTGCCCACTTGCCCCTTGAATCCACCGGCAGGCGTCCGGGGACCGGGGGGGGGGGTGCGTCTGGCCTGTCATTGCCCTCACTGCACACACTGTCGCTCTGGGAAGGTCCAAGCCAGGAGGGTTCGGCTCTGTGTCCTGCCAGGCCTTGCCAGGAGCCATCCGGGACCTCCACTTTCCCTCCTGTGGCTCTACGCTACGTCCCTCATGAGGGGCGCCAGGGGATGTCCCTCCACTGACTCTAATCTCCCGTCTCCCACGGGGCAAGGGCCACCTGGTCCGTGAGCCCTCAATGGCCCTCCTGGCATCCTGCTGTGCACCTGGGTCCAGGTACCACCAGATTGGGGACTGCGATGCTCCCCACCCCCTCTGCTCTGGGTCCCAGGTGTGGGGCAGACAGAGGGTTCGGAGGGGCGGGCATGGAGAAAGTCTCCCTTCGGGGTCCCAGTGCTCTCCCACCAAGCTCACACCCTATTTGTGGCTCTCCTTTCCTCTTTTCCTGAAGGGCCCTTAGACCTTTACCCTGTCACAGGAATTGCAGATGTGTGGGGTGAGTGAGGGTCCAGCACCCCCCAACCCACAGCCTCCTCGCTGCCCTACTGGAGAGGGAAGGCCCGCCTGCAGCAGCCGGAGTCACTCACAGTTTCCAGGGCTGGAGGACCGTGTCGTTGCCACCACACGCACCTGCGATGCACCCATATCTAGAGGAGGGCGGGGGGCATCCCCTGAATCGTCCTGTTGCCGCGACCTCTCACCATGGGGGCTGTCACCCTGTGACCCCCGACTACGCTGGAACCCTGGGGGCCGTCAGCTCTGTGCGTGGGGCCACGGGCAGCTCCCGGAAAAGCGCCCGCACCTGCTGGGGCCTCCTGAGTGCTTGAGCATGAAAGGGCTCCGGCCAGGCCCATGGCTGATATCAGAGTGGGCCTGGGCGCCCCGGGGTCCCCGTGGTCCCCCTGTCTGGTTGCCCCAGGACACAGACCCCCGGTGGACTCTCAAACCTCTCTCTCAACGGGAAAAGAGGCCAGCTCAAGACCCTGGTGACGGTGGGGAGGAGTCACAGGCCCCGTCATGGGGTGAGGATGGCTGCTGAGCACAGGCACAGCCCCTCTGGCCGACCTGTCACAGGCCAGGCCCCGGGGCTGCCCTCCAGGACCCCACTGTGCCCTGGGTGACTCTGCTCCAGTCGGGGGAGCAGTCCGAGGCCCAGGAAGCTCAGAACCCTTCCCCAGCCGCCCCACCAGCAGGTGGCCCACCCCTGAGCCGTGGAGGGGCAGGTGCTCACTTTGTAAACAGCAGATCCAGCACCTCCTCGGTGGTGGCAAATCCATGACATTCATCTAAAAAGATGAATACAGAGATACATCCCTGCGCAGCAAGGCGGGCAGCAGTTGTTGGAATTCCTGCTCCAGCAGCTCCGTCCGGCTGAACTTCGTCGGGCAGATTGGAGGCCCCTTTTGGCCGAGGCCCTTGCACCCTGAGGCTGGTACAGAGGGGAAGTGCAGCCTGCATGGAGCTGCCCGGAGGCCTCGGCTGGTGAGCGCAGACCGCAGCCAGAGCTCTCGGGGGCTGCGGGCAGCAGGAGTGCCCACGGCAGGAACCCGGGCCTTGATGCCTGTGTCTCAGTCACTTAGCATCTGTCTCTCGGCTGTGGCTCAGGTCTCGGCCTCAGCACCCTGGGATCCCGCCCTGGAAGGCCACGGGTTTGGGGCCCAGTCCGCTTGAGGAGTCTGGGTCTCCCTCTCCCCCTCCCTGCTCTCTGCCTGTCTCTTGCACAAACAAGACAAACTATCCAATAAAGAAACAATCTCAGAAGATAAATGTTCAGAAAATGTTGGATCACTACAAGGACCTCAAGAGACACAGACAGAGACCCAGAGAGGTAGACACGCAGACAGAGGGAGAAGCAGCCCTGGTGCAGAGAGCCCGAGGCGGGACTCGATCCCAGCCCTGCGGGGTCAGGACCTGGGCGGAAGGCAGGCGCTAAACCACTGGGCGACCAGGCCTCCCCTGGAGGCTCTAGTCTGACATTCCTACACATCTGTGCACAGGGACTCTGCATCTGGCCCAGGCAGGGGCAGGGCCCTGGGGCAAGTGTGGGGAGGAGGGGAATGCAGACTCGTGTGGGAGCATGAGTGTAGGGGCCA